TCTATTTTCTACATACATCTCGGAACTGTCCACCGAGGGGAGGCTACTTAAGGTGTCCCAACTCCCAATGCGCTAACCTCACTATCTATTCTACTACACCATATCCTTGATATTCCGAGTGGGCTTGTCTGTTATGAATTTGTTATATTTAGTCTGGATGTGGTGATGCAGGGGTTATCTTCTTAATTCGGTTAGGTCTGAGGCTACGGGATTTGGATTTGTTCAGGCTGGAAATTTGAATTGGTTCTTTAGTTCTAACAATTTTATTACTTTTACAATTATTGTATAATTTGCTTATTGGGAACTCGATATTTTGATAATATGATAATCTGAACATATGAATTCGTAACTTTGATAATCCGAGCCTCGATTACCTTCATTCATACCTTCGCACCTTCGACCTTCGACCTTCGAACTTCGTAACTTTGTAACCTCGAACCTTCGATAATTTGTCTTCGTCGATATCGACTCGACCTCTGCAGCTCAACAGCTTCGAAAATCTGCCAATAAGTAGATTCATGACACAGTTACAATTGTGCCGCAAAAGCCACAAAGGGAGTCGTATGATAACCCTAAATCATATCGACCGATCGAACTCCTCAACACCATGGGAAAAGTCCTCTAGAAGCTTGTAGCCAACAGATAATTGAAAGAAGCTGAAGTCCATAATCTACTCCCTGACGAACAGATAGGAGCCCGACAACTGAGGTCTATTGTTGTAATGGAAGTTGTATAGAGAAGCTTAAGCTGTTAGACTTGTGTTTAATATCACCTAGTGCAGCGAGTTGGGAGATTGAAGAGTCTGAAAACTTTAGTGGAGAGTTGTTGATTAAACCCACTTAGTATCAGAGCGCTATTTAAACTAATTACTACATCTAAGTGAAGGATGTGATTCACTTATTTACGCTAAATAATTGGGAGACTGGTCAATGTATGAGTCGTCATGAATGTGGCTAGTAATAATAGAACCTTATTACGTTCCGTATTAATGTGACTCTTTGTTGCCAAGTAGCGCCAATTTCAACATCTATGATCTTTCCAGTGGAACTTATTATAGAACAAGTACACTCAACATGGGGAAAGAACAAAAGGAGAGTTGCTTCTCTCCTCAGCCTCGATATATCCGGAGCTTTCGATAATGTGTCTCACAAGAGACTCATCCACAACATGAGGGCTAAAGGTATACCAAGATGGACGATGCTTTACATAGAATCGTTTCTAGGAGATCGAGCCACGTCGATGAACCTTGGTTCATTCAAAGAAAAGCAGTTTTCATCCATTACTGGGATATCTCAGGCGTGACGGCGCGATCCAAAAGGGGTAGGATCTGCCGTCCTCGAAGTTTACAAGATGATTATCGAGGTTCATAATGGAGGTTTAGAATTAGAATTTATAGATTAAGAAGAGATAATTGTGGTAGCAAGATACCAGAGATGATTATGATCAAAAGAAGAGAAAAATAAAAAATACAAATCGCGAAGCTGAATATCTGGTTAAGCCATTTCTTCCACTTCTTATAATCAGAACAATTCATTAATACATCCTTCGGCTCGTCCTTGAACCATCCACCGTATGAGGGTATCTGGATTAAATTTTTAACCTCCTCAGATATTTAATCTGGAGAATAATTTGCGGATTCTTCCTGTATCCTAAATTCTAATCATCCCCGAAAGTCTTTATTACTAATTTTTGTGAATATACTATCATTAAGCACAGCATTACAATTCTTGAAAGCCGGTCTTTTTTATTTAGATCAAATGGTCCTTTGCTAAAGATCTATGTACACTATGGGTACACGGCCGGTGGAGCCGGCGGGGTTTCCTGTAAGCTTTCCAACAGCCTAACTCGTTTTATCCTCGTGAATTGCTGCCAAAAGTGCAGCTGATTAAACAGAAATGAAAAAAGAAAAATCACGAAAGTCAAAACAACTCCGAAAGACAGAAGATTCCTCCATGTTGGACCCAAGCAATGCGCTCCTCACACTTTCCATCGTCCATCATACCTTCTAAGTTACAAATTTACTTCATCTCCGGTGAGAGAAAAAGATGGGTTAGCAGGCACCTTTAATCCAGCTGATATCCTGCTATTGGTTAGTTGATGCCTATTAGAGACATCGTTAAGGTTGCTGTTCCCTTAATGCTTCTTCTTCAGATTCCGGCACTCCGAAACCGGCTGCCTCGGCCATCGAAAAATCCTTTGCTGAGGCGATGATTGCCTCTTCAACCCTTTTGACTGTAGCTCGAGCTAGTGCCACCTTCGCAAACTTTCCTTGCTCTATTTGACGGATCCACGTGAGCTGCTCTTTTGTCACCGATCCCCACAGTTGCGACATCTGATGGGGGCCTCGCACCCTTCTTCAGAGTGCATTTTTGAGCCGCAATTCGGATAGGCCAGAGAGCGGGACTAACCACGAGTGGCGTGGAAGCCCGAACAGCGCTTGCACTTTTCATTTTTCCGACGAGGCTCCTGGATGGTATCAATACCAAACTCGTCGAAGAGGCGGAATCCCGGGCAAAAAGGGCATGCCAGTTTCTATACTGAGCATCAGGACTGCATATCCCGTGCGGTCGCATCTGGATTGGCTCCTTTCGGTATCTATATTTGATCTCGTTTGAGATACATTCAGCATCGACTGAACAAGTACAGTCGACTGTTTGTAGGGTCGCGGTTACATTCAGGATCCGAAAGGCGACAAGGCCGGAAGCTTCTTCGAGTATGGCGTTGTGTTTCGCCAGTCTCTGAGCAGCCCTGAGTAGCCTCTGCCTAAGGATTTCATTCTTTTCCGGAATAGCATAGCCGGTTCTGACTCGACGAAAGGAGCTAGTTTTACTCAAGATTTTCTGCAGCTCAACCTGTACTTCAACCCGTGTGCAGCAGGGTGGGAGCTTGCGCCACGAGTAGTCACTGCCGAGGCGAACGAAGAGTCGTTTATCCACTTTCGCCTTCGGGGCGTCATTCTCTGTGCCCCTGGCTGCAGGTTTCAGCATAGCCTTTACTACAGGGACTGCTTTTTGATGCTATCCGTTTTTAGCCATTGTGACTCAGGTGCTTTTTACAGGCAGAACTATGACGGCAGGTATTTTTTGGCTCCTGGCGTTAGGAACCCTTGGGATTAGATTCGCCGGGCGAGTATGGAGGACGGGTGGCGTGGAGGCCGAGCACGTAGCCATGTATTGTGCAATGGCGGCGCGTAGGTAAATTCTCATCGAGTCTACGAATCGTCTATTCGGCCCGTTGGTCACAGGGAGGAGGTTTGCTTCGATACCAGATACGGCGGCGGAACAGAATGCCAGGTTTGCCGCTGTTTCGGCGGCGTGTCGTAGTTCGGCTTCGAAATTTGCTCGGAGTTCCAGAGGGAATTCTGCTTGGGTCGCAGCTTTTGACTGCGAAGTTGATTTTGACGCTGTTTTGGATTAGCGTCCTCCGACGGTTTGGACGCGGTCGAAGAAGGTTTGGATGATTCCCCAATCCTGTAGGGGACGAAGGATGGTTGAGGAAATTCCTCAACAATTTCGACTGACCCGATGCCGGCAAAGACGAATTCTTAACCTTCCAGTAGTGCCGGTACAATCGCTCAGTATGCTCTGCATATCTGGGATAGCAAAGAAGAATCGCATCCAAATCGAAGTCGAAAGCACTCGCAAGCACATCTAAAATCGACGACTCATCATCAATGTCGGACCTATCATTCTCACGCGAGTCCTCTACCTCAATCTTACCACACCACCTCGCCTCAAATACCGATAATGGCGTTACTCCAATTGCAATCGGGCATTTGCTGTCACAGATCAACTATAGAAAGCAGGGAGCATTTGTATGGATGATGGTATATTAACAATTCAACTATGTAGAACTAAGCTACAGATACTTAGCCAGGTATTTATACAGATTACTACACTCCAAGCCCTTCCATCTAAGGTCAGTTCATTTCTAGATAATTCCAGTTGCAGCTCTGAGAATATGGTTTCTAGTAGCTTCTCAAAGTTTCAGTTACAGTCTTGTTCATGTCGAATCTTATCTAGTACCTTCGACAGTGGTTCTGGTATGTTCTGCAAGGCTATTGCGCCGGCCCAACCCCTGGTGGTTATACGCCAGTACTTGCCATTACTGGCTACAGGAAAATACCGGCTTCTTAGCCGTTACATTTGCCTCATCAAAATCCGGCCGTCTCCCACTTCACATTTACGACGCTATGTATACCAGCGAGGAATTCAAGTCATAATCTACAAAGCTCGGGTCTTGGTCTATGGGGAACTGTTGCTCTAATGGGGCTTCACATCTTGAGGGAGGTCAGGCAGCTAGGACGTGGGACGAACGAGTGAAGAGGTTACAAAAAGGCATGCTGGGACGCACCTTTTTCGAATGTTTACGACTTAAGAGTATCTGTGGGCGCAGAGGCAACGATTTTGGATAGTGCTACCGACAATATAAAAACAGGCAACAATCGAAGGTGTTTTGGTCCGCCTCCTGGTCCTCATCTCCTCGAATTAAAGTCTGGATAGCCTGGACGCCTACCTCACTCGAGAAATGGAGGACTATGAGGCCATATCTCGCGCGGCGGCTATATACAAGATGGCAAAGGCATGTTAGGGTAGCCAAAGGTTTTTACTGTTTTCCCTTTGGTAGATATTAACTGTTGAGGGAAGGGTAAAAGTCCCTAGCGCCAAGATCTCGAGTGGTATCAGCAATTGCACCCACTACATGAGTAGTCCAAATGTCAAAGTGAGTTTTTGCCGTATGTAGTCGTCGGGGAAGGACTCGCCTTCTCCGTGTCATGCTCTTTGAGTGCAGGGCTTGTGCCCGTCACGAATAAAACATTCATTCATTCGAACCCACTGTGGATACAAGACCCGTGAGTCTGGCGGCGATCTCCTTACAGTCCCAACTCAATCATATCACTCAAATTACTGCTCAAGTCCTTGTGGATTAAAAAGCATGGGAAGTCAAATAATTATAGTAAACTACATTATATTCTCGCTTATATTGCTCCTTACCATGTATTAGGAAAAAAAAATTCTTGTTCGTCCGTCATTTTCCGTTGAAATCATCTTTACAAGAGACGATCTTAAATAATCTTCGTGAGGACAAACTTTGTATCCTATTCTAGCCAGATTTTTTGCAGAAATATAATATAGACCCGAAAAATTATTTTCATTGTCAAATCCCATCGCAAACATAGTGCTTTGTCCTGACCTGTTAGCTTGTATTATGAAATTATATTGGATATTTACTTTGATTTCGCTTCTCAGGTGATAATATTGGCCACAAAATTAAGTTACCGTTCTGCCTGATCAGGACACCCTCTGTATTTGTTGCTGGAGCAGTACCCTGTAGACTATGAATTCGAGAAAGATAATTTCGGAGGTTTACCATCCTAAATGTTACATTATTGCATAGATATGTTTCACTACTTTCTTGATTTTGGTTCTTTATATTCATTGATGGATTTATAGAAGTGATGCCTACTGATGGCTTCATAGTCCATACCTCTATACATGCAGGTTTTATGGAGGCATTCCGTACCGCAGGCTTAATTTGAATCAAACGGCATGTTGAAGAGAATTCTACACGGTAGACAGCCGCCTGTTCTATTAAAAAGATATCAGGAGTAGGACAGAATCTTGAAAGCGGAATATACATACTTGTTCCATGAATATTATAATCCTTTTCTATGACGTGTTTAAACCAAAACTTATTATCAGCAAAATTGATATCTTTTCGACGAAGAAATTGAAAAAACAATCCATATTTCGGTGAAAATTTTTCAAGTTCTCTACATTTACGTATCATTTCAGACTCAATATCTGCGGGTAGAAAATTTGAGCCGCACGCAAACCCTGAATTTTGATATACGTTGTCCACATTTAGATCTAGGCTTAGTTCGTTGTATGTCAGGAACTTGGTACACTTTTTGTAGGTAGGCACAGCACCAGCTTCATTGTCTACAATCATCATAACACCCAAAAAATTTCCTTCATCGTCTATGACGACTCGATCAGACCCGGGCTTTCCTGCGATACTAGTGAGCCATCATGATTAGGAAGGGGGCAAGACGAATTGTGATCCATACCACCATTGCGGATTGATATGTGGTTTTTAAACGGCACAACAAAAATATTTCGATTCTCTATGCCGAATAGCTGGTTGTCCTCAAGTAGTGCGGGATACTTATACTTAGGATCCACTGGATTCAACAACTTGGAGGCGTAGAGAGCTACCTCTTGAGCCTCTTCGTGCATCACAATGTGATCATCACAGATGTATCCACTTGCATTGCATTGAAATGCTAACTCCAATGATATAACTGCTGTATAGACAATAACTTGCAGTCGTCCAAATTTTGTAATTCGCATCAGGAATGACAATTAAAATAGCTGATATATCTATTCGCTTGTATCAATCTGCACAAAATCTTAGATTTGTAAAGGGCTCAAATTCATTAAGAGCAATAGACATACCTCTTGATCAAAGGTGGTGTGAATTTTCAAACTGTAAATTACTATGCAACAGATTCTACCTCGAACGAGAATTGCAATGACTTTATGGGGACGACTACGAAAACCAATTTTCGGACATGCAATTCATGAAATTAATGATCGTAGCGCCCATCTAGATTGATGCACACAAATTAGTACCTGATCTGGACAAAGAATAGTTTTCTTTGCTTGGCTTTAGCCTTGAGTGTTCTGGGCCATCCTTCTCATTCCTTAAAATGCACATCATAGAGCCGATTCATGTCGTGGGTATTACCCCACACCCATAGAGATTTTCTGTGGGACTTCATGAGTAGTTAAATCAGCGATGAGATTCTGTATTCACTAATGTATCGGTTGTAAATCTGTTGTTGTATTTCTGGATGGGCAGATTTCATTTACAGACGAATTTGTTTAGAAGCTGCTTCTGTTGTTCTATATACGCCATGGTTGCTCAATGTGAGTCTTCAAGGCACTAAGGTATTTTGTGCCTTGAGTAGAGCAGCATCTTTGTCTCGAACAAATTGCTTCATCATCGACTCTTTGCACTAGTGATACAACTATCAACTTGGCTTGAAATACGGTCATGAAGGGGGAGGACAAAGGCTGAACACCTGTCAGTGGTGTCCTCTACGAACCTGGGAGTGAAATATTCTCCCAGAGCCGAGATTCAGTCACGAAAAAGGGTGGGATGATTTTTAATTGATGGATTTTCGACCTGAAGGAGTTGCACTCGATATTTTGGTCGAAAAATCAGTCGGCAGAGATTTCACAGCCGGAACAACGTCGAACAAAAAGTCATCACTACCAACATACGACTCACGAATGGGCCTAGGTCTAACTGGAGGTCGTATTCAAACATCCGACATTTCTTAAACTCCTTTTATACTTGCGACGAAGCATTTCTCAATCGATCCTACACCTGCGACCTACCTTCATACTCGTCACGTCACCTAACTACACACGCCCTAATGAGGAAAGTCATGATGGAAACAGGACGTGTGCAAAAGAGGAAGAGAGGGGAAGATACACCGAGGGGATTACACAAATCCTCAATGACGACAACAACCTGACGGTACGATATGAAGGTGCAAGGCTAGAGAAACGATGAAATCTTGGACGGCATTTATATTTCGGAGTCAATGAGAATGTCAAGGGCTCGGGCGCGTGGTGGCCGCGGCTGAGGAAGGAATTGCGCTACGGCGTGTATACAGCGGGTTTCTGGACGGTTAGGCTTGGTATGATTCAACACATAGGTGAAGTCTGAGGTGGTCCGGTCATTAGGGTGGGACGAGGTTTATCTGTACTTCACGGTAGTTAACCTGATCCGGCCCAACCCCACACGTGCTTAAGCTCCAATAGGAGTGCAACGGTAGTCATGTAACCTAGCACGTTAATGAACAAAACAAAACAAAAACAAAACGGTCATGAAGGGTTCGTTGTACCATTTTTGTCCGGTATTCGATTCCTCTGCCCATGCAGTGCAAATTGACCTGAAATTCCAGTAATTAAAGTGCAGGATTTTAGATTTCAAGCTCGGCGCACTACTCGTGTTACGAGAGGTCTTAAGCACCAGCTACTGGGATAATAGATGACTACAATGAATCGATTACAAAGGCGCATCGATCTCGAATGAGCATACACTGCAACTGATATGCAGGTAACGAAAAATTTGTAAACTTCCAATAGTGCCGGTATAGTCGCTGATTATGCTCTGCATATCTAGGATAGCCAAGAAGAGTCGCATCCGAATCGAAGTCGAGGGCAACTTCAAACATATCTAAAATCGACTACTTCTCATCAATGTTGGACCTATCATTCTCACACGAGTTCTCTACCTCAATTCTAATATGCACCACCTCTCCTCAACACTGATAAAGGCATCACTCTCATTGAAATTGGAAATTTCTTCAACAAAAATTGGCCATCTCCCATTATAAAATTACGATGGTATGTATACCTGCGAGGAGTAAACTAAGCAATAATATAGCAACACGGATCTTGGTTTATGGGGGACCGTCGCTCTAATGGGGCTTCACAACTCGAGGGAGGACAGGCAGCCGTGACGTGGGACAAACGAATGGTGAGATCACAAATTGGCATGCTGGATCTCACATTTTTCGAGTGTCTTCGACTTAAAAATGTCTGTGGACGCAGAAGCAATTATTTCGGATCGCACAATTGACAATCTGAACACAGGCAACAATGTAGGGTGTTTTGTTCCGCCTCTTAGTCGTCATCTCCCCGAATAAAAGTCTAGGTTTTCTAGACACCTACCTCACTCAAGAAAGCGATGACTGTGAGGCCATATCTCGAGCGAAGACTATGTGTAAGATGGAAATGGTATAATAGAGTTGCCAAAGGCATATACTTTTTTCCCTTTTGGTGGGCATTCACGGTTGAGGGAAGAGTGAGATTCCCTAGCACAAAGTTCTCAAGTGATATCAGTATATATACCCACTGTTACGGTTTCACCGTTATTTGAGCGTGGGAGGGAATTTGAGCGCTTCATTTGGAACAATTACAAAAAGTCTAAAAGAAGGACGGATAAATGTAGATGAAATGGCACTAATATCCAAGAGGTCGAAGCAACATCATAGCGTACTTGCTCTTGATAGTACTAGGCCAAGGAGAAAGCGATCAGTTAGCAGATTCACGAAGCGGATCAAACGTTTAAAATACCTGTTAGCAGTAGATAGAGATTTCTTTTCTTTGCACACAGTTTAATAAATGGGCTTATTGTTGTAGAGGTAAGAGCTTACGGAGGTTAATTAGTAGAATGTTTACAGATGATTGTCGATGAATCAAAATGAACTGCTAATATTTTTGGTATTCAAAACCATGAGTATTTAGGAGGTTGAAAGCGCTAATTATATACACATCTGACGTAACTAGACTCTCGTCTTATTTACCTAAAATAGTATCACGGAATATTCTATTCTCCTCCATCTGGTAGTCTAATCTAGAAACACTTTCCATACAGTGCTCCATTGTTCCTCTACTCATCATGGAGCCACCTGGAAGGTTCTTCCTTCACCCTCAGTGATCATTACCCTTGTGCATCGTAATCCTGGCCATCACCAGTACAACATTTATTCAATACTAACTCGATATCCTTCACACACATTACATTAGTGGTCCAAATGTCGAAATTGTGTTATCTTCGCAAGTATTTGTCTTAGAAGGACTAGCCTTCTCTGTGTCATGCTTTATGAGTGCTCTGCTTGTGCCCCTCCCCAATAAGATACCACCCATCCATCCTTCTCCCGATATATACTTAGAATCATGTCAATGAATTTTGAAAGATGGAGAACAACGCGTGGCGTTTCATTTTTCCTCACCTAAAAGTTTAATCTAGATGTCTTGTTGATATAGGAGCTATGGGAGCAAGAGTACGCCAAGTTACACCCCTAATTTATTATCCAAAAATCGCACAGTGGTTGAAAATTCAGCTTCGTGCGATCACTTTCATCAAGATAAATCCCAAACAAACTCAAGCCATCCAAAATTCATCCGAAAGGATGACTGCGCCCTCCACATCTTCATCCATAGCTAGAGCAAAAAGATAATTTATCTATTTTGTGAAGTTTCCACCACCAATTTCTGGGCTCAGAAATGCCACTTACAGTCTCTTAAGGATGGCAAAGGTGTTATGGCCAGGCATCCTTGAAGAGGTTTCAAGGAGAAGGTTCTGAGGAAAAGGTGATATGAGAAGGTTTTAAGAAAGGTTTTGGGAAAAGGTTTACTGAGAACGTTTCCGGGAAAACTCCGACAGTTAGAGATGGAGGGGCTGGCGTCATGACGGCATTTATGATAGTCTTAGTTGAGTTCAAGTACTATCTCGAGTTAGACTTAAGGAAGCTGGAGCTGCCACATAGTAGCTCTCCAGCTTCTCAATCTTTCATTCTTTTGATCTTTGATCTTGCAATCTAGATTTACATAATGTCATAATCTTATATCCTCATGGTCTCTAGAATCATACTACTCGTCTCGACCTCTCGATCTCTCGTTCTTCGGTCCTAATCTTTTGTGCCTCGCCCGATCAGTTTAACACCCCTAGCCGTACCTGTCTATATCGTCTCGTACTTACTCGCCTAGTCATTACTAGGATATCTTCGGCAGACGGCAATCTCCAGTATCCTTAGCGCACGCTGTAACAAAAGGTACAATTTTCAAAATGACTGGGGTTAGATCCCTGTACATATTGCCTTAATTGGTATGGTTTTCATGCAGGCCCATGTCTAGTTTATCGACTAGTTATTGTTGAAGTGTCAGCCTTACGCTGTTTTATGTCACATGACTTTATCCTGTAGTGTTTACATTACTTTCTAGCGTTGTATACTAGCCATTCTTATACCTGTAACTTACACATCAATTAACTTATATTACATTCTATATACGTCCTTTAAGACATTTTGAGACCAAACTGCTCATTAAGTTAAGTGTAGTTATCAGTTGTCCAAATTTTATATATACCTACTGCCACAGTGTTGCACTCAAATTTATATTTGCTGAAGAAGTTCTAGCAATAAAGTGTTATAGGCAGTTTATCAGGTACATCGGACAGGTCGATTGACGCGTCATATACGTCAGTCTTAAGATTAAAAGAGCTTTCAGCGACCCAATACTCAATAAATTGAGAAGAATATTTTGGAGCAATGTCACAAGACGGATCCCTCTACCTATCATCAAATCTCAAGCTTACAGGCGAGAAAACTATTCAACATGGAAGAATAGTATCATAAACCTAGCTTTGATTCACGATTTGTCAGATCATTTTCACCCTCTAGCTCCAGAACCGCCTGCCAAAATAAATATATTCGACGAAAAACTAAAAGCAGAAGACATCGAAGAATATAAAGCGTGGGCTAAAAAGGATG